GGGATGCAAGGCTCTGAGGAACAGGGAATAAGCTAAAGTCAAATCACACCATAAACTGATTAGATTTTTCACTTTTTTCTTAGATGGGAATAAAATATATTATTTATTGCCATCTGTCATGCTCCAACTTCTCCTTCTTGCTTTATTTATAGGCTGGACCACTGCAGTTGTTTCTCTTTTCTTCTGGTAACTGCCTGCTCGGCTGACAGTGAAACACAATTTTTTACTCACACACGAAGAAATCTGGAGAAGCCATATGTAAAGTTTTACTCAAAAGACGTGGGAAAGTCCGTGTTAGTTAGTACAGTTGTCTAACTCACTATTTAGAATAGCACCTTCTGAGCCTAAAAAAATAAAATTTATTTAACAGTGTAAAGAGTTATAGTTTCTAGAAAGGCAACTTTAGTAAAAAGGAAACAGTGCTTTTGTGTAAATTAAACATTTTCCTTTTAACACAAGGGATAAGCAACACATTTTCATTCAAAAATTATTTATTACAAGTAAATTCTTTTAGGGGTCATTTAAAAATCGTACCCTTAATCTTAGCTAATGCTGTTGTCTGATATAAATGTGTTGTAGTCTGATATAAGTGGTGTTGCAAGACCAGTGTGTTGCAGTGAAAGTGATTTCAGTCAGACACACTACGACAGAAGTAAAATATGAGTTAGATAAAATTATACCTAGAGTCAATGTATACATTAAAATGCTAACAAAATCATATAGTGTTTAAGATTTCTTCCAAAAGAGTACAGGAAGTGTACATAAAACAAACAAAATTAGCTCTGAGTTCTTAATTGTTAATGCCAAACTGAGGTACAGGGGGGTTCATTATTAACCTTATATGGAAAAAATAAAGCAAACAAAACAAAAACAAAACATTAAAACAGAATATCACACAACAAAGCCCATCTTCTTTTTTTTTCTTCGGATCAGTCAGGGTGAGACTTTTGATCACTGGCTAGGAGAATCAATGCCCTTCCTCAGTCGGAAGCAGTTATAAGAAGAGGGACCCTCGGCCCTTTTACACCCCATAAGAATAACAGCTTAATGTCTGGTGTGTGGGAATGAGGTAGGAGAGAATAAATCAAGGTAGGACAGAAGCAGACAAGGAAAATCCTAAGTAAAAAAGTGTACTTTTAAGAAGACTATCCTACAAGATAGCATTTTCAAAAGTGTGTGTAGGATGTCAAAAGATATTTGTATATGTATGTATATGATCTAAATTTAATGTTAAATGTAAATTTATACAATGACATTTAAAATGTTTCCCCTTTAAAATTTTTTTCTCTTGCTTGTTTTCTTTTAAAGTAGTGTTTATTTTTCAGAGCAATTGTAGGTTTTTGGAAAAATTGATGGAAAGTTCAAATTTCCCAATTTTCTTTTCCTCGCAAACTGCATCCCAAAGGTAGATGTTATTTATAAGAAAGGATTCTATGGTCAAATATGTTTGATTTCTAAGATCTTGGTACTATTGAGGCAGGAAATGAGGGTGCAGCCAGCTGGCTGGGGAAGTAGGTATCACCTGTCACAGAAATCCAGAAAATATGCACCAAAGCCATGCACCTGGGACCAATCAGAAAGTTTATTTTTAATTCTTCTCTTGAGAACTCAAGCAGGTTTTGATAGGACAACCTAGATCTGACCTCAGCCTGAGGAGTGGGAGATACACAAGATGGCTGCCATTAACCCCATGGTCATCATGTTCTCTCTTTCACAGAGGTTTGCTTTCACCCTGTAGAGTGCACTTCTTTTCCTTCTTTTAATTCCCCACACTCACTCTGCAGAGCATGTTTCTTTGCCTACCTTCAATAAATGTAAAATTCACTACATGTTTTGCATTTGTCTTAACTAATTCTTTGTTCAGAACAGAAAGGACGTAAAACCTACCTGTTGAAAGAGTCCCCAGTACACAAGAAATTGGTAAAACTATTATACACTGAACCTTTGAGTTATGACAGGTCTCACATATGAACACCTTGGGTTACAACCAGAATTTTAGGTATAAATTATAGCCAAAGTTTTGAGTTATGACCTGTCTAAGCCCAGATATGATCTCGGTCAGTGCTTCATATCATCACTAGCATTACTGCTCTCACCAGGGTCCCCAAAGAGCTAGAACAGAAGCTGAGGAAGGCAAGGAAGGTAAAGAAAGCAACCACAATCAAAAAGAAGGAGGAAATTATAGAGGGAAATGATAGTGGTGTTCGTGTGACCAATCCTGCTAATATGTGCACCATGTCGAAACCCACTGTCTCAACAACCTTATAGAGAAGAGATTTGTATAAGGAAGCCAGGGTTGCTAAAGGTCACTCAATTTAGTAAGTCGCAATCAACGGTGTCAGATGAGGTAGAAAGGCTATTATTAGCGTGGATAAACAGAAGGCAGATGAGATGGTAAGTTATAGCCTATTTGTGAAAAGCTAGGGTATAAATGCAGATCTCCTAAAGGACAAGCCATCAATGAGTGATAATAGTGAAACATTTCATACCAGTAAGGCGTGGTTTCCCACTTTTAAAGTGAGAACTTCGGTTCATAGCACAACTAGACATGGTGAAGCAGCCAGTGCTGAAAAAGGACTGCTGAAAATTACATCACACCACTTGGAAACAATGACATCAAGAAATGACACAGAGAAATGGCTTTGGCTCTCATCACGTTTTCACCTGTGATGAAACTGGCCTTTTCTGGAAGAAAATGCCCAGGAGAACGTACATTACCCTGGGAGAGAAAAAAGTGCCAGGCCACAAGCCTATGAAGGAGAGGCGAAGCTTGCTGCTATGTGCCAATGTGAGTGGTGACCTCAGGATGAAGCCTCTCTTGGCTTATCACTCTGAGACCCCTAGAGTGCTCAGAAACATAAAGTCATGGTGAATAGGCTAGCGGCCATGTAGAGATCTAAGGCAAACGCTGGGTAACAAGCGTACTTACTCTCGAGTGTTCAGGCAGGCTTTCTGTCCTATTGCTAAGAAACAGTATCTAGAGGGTAAGGGTTTACCAGTCAAGGCTCTTCTCATCATGGGCAATGCTACTGATTACCCACAAGTTTTGGAAGAGGAATCGTCTGGGGAGTTCCCACGGCTCTCTGTGGAGTTCTTCCCACCTCATACAACTCCTCTACTGCAGCCTACGGACCAGCAGGTTACAGCTAATTTTAAGAAGCTATACACCGAGAAACTGTGCCTGAAGTGCTTTCAGATGGCCTCAGATATATACTGAACTCATAAAGAGTTCTGGAAGGAAAATCCTTTCCTGTGTGGGGTAGACAAATCCTGGGCCAATGTCTCCCTCAGGACACTGAGATCTGCCTGGAAGAAAGTATGGCCTAAAATTCTACAGAACAGCGACTCTGAAAGCTGGGTAGAGGAGCCTGAGCCTTCAGTTGGCCCTGTGTTGATGACACTGTCACTATAGCAGAGTCCACAGGCTTGCAGGTGGACACTGGTGACGTTGAGGAGCTGGTGGAGGAGCACTCGGAGGAATGGCCCACAGAGGAACTTCAGCAGCTTCTGGCTGAGCCACAGAGAAGGGCAGCCGAGGAGCTTTCTGAAGAAGAGGGGGAGCATCCATCAACAATCAGCGCGGCAGAGTGCTTCCTCAGAAATACAGAAAATCCTGACAAAATGGACAGAACTACAAACATCTGTAGAGGAGATCCACCCAGACAGAGAAAATGCTAACTGTTGCCTTCATTTGCTTAATCAATGTCATGTCATACTACAGAGCAGTGTTAAAGACAAGACAGAGACAGACAACTTTAGACCAGATTTTAGTTTGAAAAGGTTGAGACCGAGTGAGTGAGCTTCCTGATGTTCTCATGTTTTGTTTTTTTTCTTTTGGTTTTTTTTTGGTTTTTTTGGTTTTTCTCCGGTACCGGGAACCGAACTCACGACCTTGCGCTTGCCAGGCAGGCGCTTTTGCCGCTGAGCTAGATCCCCAGCCCCCTGATGTTCTCATGGAAGGGACTCTCCTTTCAAACAATGACCACCCTCCATTCCGTCCTCCCTCTTGCGAGCCAGAGACGTCAGTCTGAATGGTGGCAAAGTTGTTTCTGCACATTTTCTAACTTTGGTGAATATACCAGGAAAATTATTGGTGTTTCTGGTAAATTAGGCACATTACACAATCCATTTTTATTATGAAAAGGTTAGTTAAGGGGTGCTTTGGGAGGTTCAGAATGCACTATGGGTATTTCCTTTATTTCTTATGGGAAAACCAGTCTGGACTTACAATCAGCTTGAATTACAACCAGCCCTCATGAACAAATGGAGTTTGTAAGTCAACGGTCTACTAATACATACATGTCAAAGATGGTGAATAATGGTACTCCCTTGTTGTATGTCATGCTCCTTCCATCAGGAAACATAGCTAAGAATAAAGGTTCTACTTTTGGAATGTTCACTTTTGGAAATTGTCTTAAGAAATCCTCAGACATGAGAAAAAAAATGTATATACAAGGATGTTCAATGAAGCCATATTTACCACAGGGAAAGCTTGTAAACACCCAATACAGTCAATAGGAAAGTGGTTACATAATATATACTACAATCCTCAAACTAGAATATTATATAACCATTTAAAATAGTGAGTTGGAGGATATTTACTGACAAGAAAAATTCCACAATATATTGCTATAAAGTAAAGAAAGCAAGTCAACCAAAGAACATTTACATCCTATTGTTTCCATCCATAATTAATATAGTTATATATATGCATATGTCATACACATTATACCTGTTAATAAATTCAGAAAAGGATACCAGAAAGTATGAACAGTAGTATTTTTCAAGGTGATAGACTACTGTATTTTTTTACTTTCTTATCAGTGAATATGTATTAATTATACAGCAGAAATACTTTTTGGATACGACATGTTTAAGTACTTGGAAATGTGTGGCACTTTAAATTATTGATATCAGATACTTTCCACATCTAATTAAGTCCACAGACAAGAAAACTGTAATTGTTTGAAGAACCTATGGAGAGAAAACGCAGATCCTACCTTCTGAAGAGAAAATAATGAAAACATAACAAGTGTCGTGAGACCCAGCAGTGTAATGGAGGCGGTAAATCTCCAGGTACTCTAGGCCTTTATGAGTTTCAATACAGGAATATCTCTTCTCTCTGTAACAGAAATAACATGGGCACCACATTTATTTAAAGACTAACTTTTAAATTTGATTTTATTTGATAATGTTAGTTGGGATTTTTAAAAATTTCTAAACACTGGTATGTATGCCTTTGGCAAAGAGCCAGAGAGAAGCTGGGTGTGACGGTGCCCGCCTAAAATGCCAGCCCTTGGGAAGCCGGAGCAAGAGGATCATTGTGGGTTTGAGGTCAGCCTGGGCCACACAGATCAAGGCTAGCCTGGACCAATGGCTAGACCTGGTCTCAAAAATACAAAAACAAAACCAAAAACACCCAAGAACAAAAAAACCCAAAAACAACAGAATAAGAGTATCACATCCTTACAGAATATCATGATGAACTACTACAGTAGTATATACTTTTATTTTCAAGTTTGTTAATATATTTAATAATTTAAAAATGGTCAATAAAATTGTAAATGTAATTTTTATGTATTTATTATCTTCCAGACTGTATGGTAGATCTTGTGGTATATCTTTTACTGTCCTTTTAACATCTTTTTCTTTTTCTTTTTTTTTTGGTTTTGTGAGGCAGAGTCTTGCTATATGTTCAGGCTGGTGTTACACTCAGTATGTTGCCCAGGCTAGCCTTGAACTTGGAACAATCCTCCTGCCTCAGCCTTCTGAGTGCTGAGATTACCAGTGTGCATGATCTGCTCAGCCCTTAACATTTTTTCATTTAACATTTATTCAACAATATTTCTTAGGTGCCTATTATGCCAGGTACCGTACCAGGCACTGCTCATACAACAGTAATCATAATCGTAACATCCTAATTTTAAGGTGAGGCTATTAAGGCTTTAGGATTTCATCATAAATAGCCTATGTCAAAGCAACTCTATTATAGCCCAGTTAAAAAGAGTCTGCCTGGTCCCAAGTCTTACCATCATTACTATCACCAACAAAGAAAAAATTTCCAGACTTTTTAGTTATGCTATGGTTTACGTCGAGATGTCTCCTAGGAGCCTGATTCACTCATAGGCCAGGCTTCAGCAGAGATGGCATCACAGGAGCCCCATGCTTGCTTGGTGTTAGGAGACGGGTCCTACTCAGAGAGGTCTAGTCTCCCTCCTGGCGCCTCCCCTCTCTCTCTGCTTCCTGGTCCCCATGACATTAGCAGCTCTCCTCTCTCCAAGCCCTTTTGCCAGGCCCTGTCTGTGTTCCAACCTGCCAGCCATGGACTGAACCCTTTGAACTCAAGCTTCTACTGCTTAACGTTGCCAGTGTTGAGTGTTTTGACCCAGCAAGAAGGAAAGTGATATAGGACCAGTTAACATGAAGAAAATATTAAAGACAGAACAATGACTAAATGCATATAAAATATATACATACAGTATGTTTCATATAGCCTTTCTTATTTCTAAAATGACCTATCTTAATCCTCACACAATCTCCTGTCAGTATTCTCATTTTTTAGATGAGAGCTCCAAAGCTGAGAGAGGATGGTGACACGGGATGCTTAAATCTGGGTCTATCTAATTCCAAGCCTAAAAATGTTATTTGAAGAGAAACAAACAAAAGAATTTATTGAAGTGGAGAAAGTAATAAAGTAGGAAGAACAACAGCCAAGCATTCTGATATATGTGGTATGATCAAAAATATGGTGAATGTTTAAATTAAAAAATTATTACAGTAGAAGACACACTGCCAAGAATCTCCCTCAAAAGACTTCCTGCACCCCCTTCCAATGCACTGATCACATTGTTCTTGCCACTATCTGAAGCAATTCTGGAAGTGCTCTTTCATGACTGTCCTTTTTGTTGCTGTTGTGGCTGTCTTGATGTCTTGAATCAATTCAAGCCATCTGTTTTTGACACTGGGGAAGTCAGAAAACACACAGCACCAGACCCAGTGAATAAGGCGGGCGAAGACAAACTGTAGCATCTTTGCGAGCCTGGCTTTCTGCTGTGTGGCTCATAGGAACAGCACTCACTGTGGTTTTGATAACATCTTGAAAATATATGAAACAGGACTTGCAGAGCTGCTTCCGAAGGTGTCAAGAACAATGGGACAAGTGGGTTTGAAGGAAGGGGGAGTATTTTGAAGGGGATTGATGACAGTGCCTCTTTTTTTTGTTTGTTTTTGAGACAGGGTTTTGCTGTGTAGTTCAGGCTGGCCTTGAACTCACTTTGTAGCCCAGGCTGGACTCGAACTCACAGTAATCCTCCTGCCTCAGCCTACTAAGTACTGGGATTACAGGCGTGTGACTCTACACCTGGCTGCAATGTGTCTTTTATTGCAATAGATTTTAAAAGTTTAGACATTCATCATATATTTTGATCACCTGTGAACATACACACCACACATACACACAGAGCCACATGTCTGCATGGAGTGTGATACTGTTACAAGTAATCGAGCAGCACCACCGTACTGTAAGACAGCACACAGGCAAGGAGAGGTGCAGCAGAGATGGAGGAGGCAACCACCTGGGAAAGAGCACATGAGTGAAAATCAGCCTCCAGTACAGGTTATGACACTGTTGGCTCTTACCTCCCTAAATAGTAGGGAAGATCACTGCTTCCTTGCTCCACGACCTTGAGGAAGCCCCTTACATTCGCTGGGCCTCAGTTTCCCAATCTGTAAATAGGTATAATTACTAACTGGTAGGGGTGTTACCAATATTAACACTCATGAAGCAATTACAGCACAAGGCACAGTAGTACATGCTGTGTGTACTGCGTGTGTTTCAAATAAACGCCTGGGGTGGGGCTAATTAGAGTCTCCTCAAAGACTGTGTGTGGGGAGCCCGCACGGGACTGTTTCAAAGGCGGGGGTGCCGAAGGATGCACACGGACGTGGCCCACTGTTCGGCGCAGGCGCGCAGCGGGAGACATTTACACAGCATGATGTAGCGCGGCCCGCCAGCATGTGCTAGCGGTTATGCCAGCACACGGAACGCAAACTGCGCTAGCGGCGCATACACAGGAGCCGGACCATAACGACGCTGCGTGCTGTTGCTGACGTCTGCTCCGCGTGCTTTCTTTGGGGATCTCACCCGAGAAAATACCCTTTCAGCTCCCCAACCCCGACGGTATGGTAGCATCTGTAGGAGCAGCCTACGAGTCCATCCCCGACTTGGGGGGTGAATAAGGATGAAAGACACACGGCACAGAGTGACTCTGCAACGTGGGGTCCAGGGGGGCTCTGTGCCTCTAGTGGACCAGCCTCACTTTTACTCGCTTAGACACGCGAGACACGCGGGCAAGCAGCTCGGGTGGCAGATCCCCCCGCCTCCTGTTATCTCTAGCTTATGCCCAGGTAAACGCGCCGATCTCAGGCTGTGCACTCCTCCCTGGAACTCCAACGCGCCAGCAAGCCTGGAGCCGCCACAGAAGCTCAGCTTGCTGCTTTGCTCCGTTGTGCTCGCAGAGAAGGTCCCCTAGGCCTCAGGCCTCATGCCTGCTCTACAGCGGTGAGCCGTTTCACTTTTATTAGTGATCCCCACTGCAGCCCTCATCAGGTAGGCATTAAATGGTACTTGGCTTTGAAAGCCAGAATCATCGCGATTCTACCAACTCCTCGAATTATTAAAACAAACTCACAACACACTGATCAATTGAAAAGGGACCACTAGTTATTAATACCAGGTCTATTTTAAAGACCAAATCACATACAGATTGCCTAATCAGTATAAACTGAAAACAAGAATGGATAACTCAAATTAGACCTTCCATCAAGCCTGTCTATGTTAAGAATTTCTTATTTTGAAATTTTGTATTGTTTTTATTGTTTTTGTGTTGTTTTGTTTTTGTCTTGGTCGTTTTTTCTTTTCTCTTTAAAATAAAAAACAAAAAACAAAAAAGAATTTCTTCTTACTCTGGATATACTTTGAAAAGGCATAGAGTCACTAATGTAGTATTCTGACCAAGAATATTTAACTTGAATTTAATAACAATAAAAATTTTAGAAAAATTTAAATTAAGGGACATGTTGCTGACGGCTCCGTTTTCTAAAAAATGTAAGTGACATGGTATAAGAAGGCTGGGAAATTTGTTTTTAAAGTACATTAAACGAATATAACAACGACAGACAATGTATGAACCTTGACTGGCTCCTACATCATGAAAAATGATAGTCGTAATTACTGGACAAGTGAGAAACTTTAATATAGACTTTAAGAATCTCTATCAGTAATACATTTAAAACCACATTAGGTGGTTTATTCCTATGTACAAAATTATTCATTCATACATTTATAGTTATCAGTACTTACTAAATATCTACTAAATGTGATAATACTGCAGACAGAAATTCTTGTAAGGAATAGGCCACAAAATACTTGGCAAAAAGGGTTGGATAAAGGGTAGTGAGGTTCCCTGTACTTCAGCCTGGTGAGTTAGCAAAACAATGAAACACAATCATCTGTTATATTTTTTGATTCAGGCCATCTGTATATTAAAGCATTTTCCCTTCAAAAGAAGAGAAAACTTCAGAATGTTAGAGCAGGTGGCTCCTTCACGTAGCCTTAAGAAAAGGCCTGTAAGACACAGTGGCAGGTCAGGAAGCAGAGAAGAGAGAAAAGATAGCTTTGCCAAAAAAGGTATTTTCTGATTGTAGCTAAGAATCAGGTAATTTGGAGCCTAACAGGATTGAAGAAGCCCAATTACAAATGCTTTATAATTATCATACATTTATTTTTTTGACTAGGCTATTCACAGGGAATTTGATTGGTATAAGATGGCAGTGAAAATCCTTCTCCTAGTCTTGTCCCCTGAAACAACCTCTTTCTCAGTTTCACGTGTTCTTCCAGAAATGTCCAGTGTATTACCGTGTCTACAAATACTTCTATTCATGGGACAGGTTATAAATACTGTTCTTCTTTGCTTTTTCCATGTCTTATCAACTAATCAGGCCAGGACACATAAAGCTGCTGAACTTTAACAGCTTCATTTACATAAAGCCTACATAATAACTAGAGAGTAGATAAGAATGCAAGAAAATACAACCATATTCTTTCATAAGGCTTGTGATATAAGCATATGAAATACACACGAACATAAGGAGATATCACAGACATTTTCCCATGCAAAATAAGATAGGAGATACCACGCAATAAAGAGTTTGGAGGGGCTATGATTGAAGTAGGAGAGTTAGGGAAGGAGAGACACTGGTTGAGGAATGTACCTAGGAGTATTGATCCAAAGACACTGCTGGATTTGAAACATCTGAGTGTGTTGTGGCAAAGCATCTGAAAAGGTATTGAAGCCCGTGTCACAAGAGAGGTGCAAATATGGCAAAGGATGAACTGGAAGAGGCTGAGGTTTAAAGAAAACCAAGGGTGAGAAGTGCATGACCCTTACCGCTGGCCATCTTTACAAGGACCTGCGGCAGGAGATAAGCACATGAAATCCAGAGGATAGGCAACAGGAGCTATACCTACATGGATTCGGCCACACGGTGCTGGAAGGTCAAAGGTCAAGCAATAACTCAGGACAGGCCAGCAAGGAAACACAGACTATACAGAGCCTGACCTCTTAAAATCTGGTGATACGTAACTCTCTCCAGGAATGTGAGGAAGAGCAAAAGGAGAGGAGAGAAGGATGGCGTAAACTCTTATTTTAAAGAGCAAACGGATTCAGTTTTGACTCAGAAATGAATAAATAACTTCACATAGGCCAGATTAAGTTTTCCTTTGTCGGTTGACATGTTTTGGTAGAGGTGCCAGAAAGACGGTGAAATAAGTATACTTTAGGGGTAAAAAATAGATTTTATACATGAGACCAGTAACTATAAAACTTGTATCTGCACAGGTAGCTCACAGGGTGTTAAAAGGTTCCAAGGAAAGGTAGTATGAAAATGTATGAAGAATAAAATAGTGTAAGTTTCCAATTACAATTTCCAATAGTAACCTTTCTTTGACTTCTGTCCAAGTTTTGGGGAGCTTTAATGCAGTTCCATATACAGAAAGCATACATTTCAGGGTTAGAATTTGCAGAGTAAAGACCAGCAGCAAATATGGCCTTTCAGGAGCTGAAGGGGAGACACCTGGAAAACACTAACTTGGTGGGCAAAAAAAAGAAGTGGATCTTGGGAATTCAGAAGGAGCTGAGGGGAAAACTACAAACTATGCAGAAGCAGAAGAAATGGAGTACAACACAGAAAACAGAATGAAGCAATTGGGAAAGGAATCTCAGCTCCCAGAGAAGGTGATCTGTCTCTGCTGATACAGGGTAAGTGCACAGAGGCTTGGCAGCGCTAGGGAAAAACAGTGGATTAGACTGGCAGCAGTACCCTCAGGGAAAGCCCACAGTTATTATAAACTGCAAAGAGAGCATGAGGTTATACTCTGAAAGTGACTCCTTTCAAATGGCAGGTTACAGTTGGAGAAGATATCCAGTGCAGCACCTTCAGTATTTGACAGTGTTTAATCAGGAGGCATTTTGGAACGGGATTACTTGTTCAAAATTGAGCACAAGAGCAACCTCAGAACAACTATACTTTACAGTTTCTGATGTCAACCTACCAGAGTGACTGGGATAGACATAAATCTCCCTTAGAACTTTAAACTCAGGCCAGGAAGGTTGGGGTTGGGGGAGGTCCCACCCTTCAAGTTGAGAAGCCAGGCCAGTGGCTTTTGTGAGGGTAAGGGGCTGGGAATAAAAGTGCTGTAATCAAGTCTACTGGACTGTTTGACAACCTCACCCTTGGCCCTTCTGTCTGTATCCAGCACAGAACTCAGTGGTCTGTTTGTTTAACTCATCTGGCAAAGGAATCAGGGATATCCCTTGGTTTTGACAGTTGCCATAGCCTGGGGTACATGGACAGAAGGGCCTTTGGTGCAAGGAGGGCTCGTTACAAATGCACAGACAGTAAAGATCAGTGTAGAAAGCAGTGACTCGGGGTGCACAGAAGGGCACAAAAACTGGGACACAACAACTGACAGATCACCTGCACCAGGAAAGACAGGGCAGGATTTAACATTCACACACAAAAACATGAGTGTGGAAATAAAATGGGTCTTAGAAGAGACTATCCCGCATATCTGGTGAATTTTAATACTGCAGACCTGGGAAAGAAATCACTCATTTGACAACATGTAGAAATGTTTTTGGATTCATTTCTCTATTTCTTTATTGGTATTTTGGGGTTTCTTTTTCTTTTCCTCATTATGTATTTCTTTTAATTATGTTATTTAGCTTTGTATTTTACTTTTTCTTTTTTTTCTTATTTGTTCATTTGCTACTTTTGTCTAACTCTACTAATGCTCTTTTATACCTTAGTATGACCCTTTATCTCACTTTCCTGTGTTCCGTCTCATCTTCCTTTTCTTAATTTTTCAAGTTTTACTTCTTCCATTTTCATAATCCCCAGCCCCTCTATCTTTATTAGTATTAAGATTTGTTCATCTTTAGAGGTTCAGTTGACTCTATGCTGAGTTGGTACATTGAACAGGTATGTACTAGATGTCAATATGTGGTTTCTTGTGCAGTTTGGGTTGGTCCTCATCTCACTATGTAACCCCCACTGGCCTTAAGTTCTCAGCAGGCCTCCTGCCTCAGGCTCCCAAATGCTGGGATTACAGGTGTATGTTATCACACCTATCTACTATTTTTTTCTAAACAGGATACCAAAAAAAGTT